AAACATGCATGATGTCGACTGTTGCTCCACAATCGACGAAAACTTTGGATATCGGATACCCTTTGATATGGGCCGTTACATATAATGGCTTCAAATGATGAAGGTTGATGGCCAAAGAATGGGGAAATAGTTAGGCTAAGGCTGCTATAAGCTTGTCTTTCTTGCTAATCATATCGGCTTCTTCGGTGGCCATGAAGTCGATTTGCGTGGTCTATTTGGCAACCAAATCACCATCTAAAAAACTTGGTTGAGCGGTGGTTGGTTGGAACTCAGCAAATAGGACATGGACCATGCTGATTTCCATGTTGTCGAGTACCAAAGAGCCCATTGGGTCACGACCCTCGTCTTCTGGATTATTTGGAAGAATGTCCTGATCTTGGGTTGAGCCAATAACATCATCTTCAGCCACATGTAAAATATGTTTACCTGGTGTTGGCGTGGCCATTTCATCCTCAACTTTGACAACTGGTTCGATTAATGGTGAAACTTGATCCTAGGCTTGCAATGTCTTGCGAGTTCGTTCTTGATATACGATGCAAGCATCTCGTGTGTCTAGATAGGCGTTTAGCCTTTCGACGAGATCCATTTTTTTGTTCGTAAGGCCGAAATAAAGATACAGCGGAAAAAACCTCAAAATAATGTCGCAAGTATTGCAAATCATCTAAAGAGAATGAGATGTCTCTGCAGGATCTAAATCGGTATATGGATCCACATCAAAGCCAAGAACACTAGCTTCACGAATGTGCTGAAACCTGGCATTCATTCCCAAATCCGACCACTTTTGAATAATTTGTTCGGCGTTAGGGCCTGTCAAGGCTAAATCAAGAGATTCCTGGCATGCCTTTGGGAGGCTATATAGGTCGTTTGTCGAATTTTTCTTTTGAAATTCTCGCATGTATTCTAGAGCCTCACCAAAGAATGGTGGATGACGATTTTGTTTGACTTTAATCAATGGTTTTTGTGGCGGTGGTGGAGGAAGCTTGCTCTTGGCCTCATTCCTAAAATGCTCGATGAGAACTTTCATCTCTTTAGGCTGAAGAAGGAGTTTGATTCGTCTCTCAGACTCTTCAATCTTATTTTCAAAATCGCAACCAATTACCTTTTTTCCTTGAGGCAATTCAGTCATGATTGTCGGAGTTTGTCGACTATCCTTTTTTTTATGTCGTTTCTTTAAGTCGCCATTTTGTGATTGAAACTTCCTGAGCTGCTCATTGACGGGCCATGTAGTGTATTCTTTGTCAGCTACGTTTCTAAGACTTGGACAAAACATCTGAGTTGTGTCTGGGAACTTTAGTTTGCCATTGTCGACCCAGCTTTGGATGGCATCACAGAATACGACACAGTTATTTGTCATATGCTTGTTCGAGTTGTGATGCTTGTATATTTTCCCTTCTAAATCTTGGCCTTGGGAATGTCATGCCTCGGCTGAAGCTTAAAGATCTTTGCAAGTAATAGTGTCGAAGATAGCATTAACCTTGGTTATGTCAAAAGTGTACACCTTTTGACGTTTTGACAGTTGCTTTGATGGAGGCCTAACGTTTTGACGTCTTTGGAACTAGCGTGAGCTAGTGCCTTGCATATATAAGGTTTGTCAATTACTATCTCGGTCATGTCTATACTAACATATTGGGACTCGTCACATCCGGCTAAAGCATAACTAATCGTTGGATTCTTATAGATCGTCCCACGGGTTTAGGGTTTTCGAGATTTTCCCTTCTTTGAGCAAGTAATCATATTGCTCGATGTGCTGAGCCAACTCATACATATCTCAAAAGTTTGCCACTAAGAATTTCTTCTTATATTCCACATCTAGGCTGTTCTGGGCGAACCTAACAAATTCAACCTTGGGGAGTGGTACTCGGCACCAATTCTTGGCCAATTTGAACCTGGTAAGAAATTCCATCGGAGAATCATCGGCTGACTAAGCCATTCTAGCCAGAGAAGATACTGACACTTCCATTCTAGGTCGATAGAACTCATGAAACTTTTCGACCATCTCCTCCCAGTTTTGTATAGAATTGGTGGAAGGTTGATGTACCATGCGAATGTCGTGCCTATGAGCAAAAAATTAAATAGTCGTGATTTGTGGAAATCACTATTGGCATTTCTACATTGAGAAATAAATCTAGCCACGTGTTCCAATGAGGACAATGACGACTCTCCAGCGAAAAGACTAAAATCTGGGATCTCGAATCCTCGGGGATACTCAAACCTTTCAACAAAGGCTGGATATTGGTGGATAAATTTTGGGAATTTCAACCTTTTTTTCCAATCCGTGTTGATTATTCTCTAGACTTCAACCATATCAATAGATGTGGTTTATGCTCGTCGGCCAAATTCAGCCGAACTGGTGCTTGGCTCACCCTACGTTTTTTTCAAGATCAATTGTTCTTGGCCGAGTGAATCCTATCTTGGCCTACATCGGTGGCAACTTCTCCCCTCCCAATATGTTATTCTTTAAAAAGGGAATCTGATTGGGCTGATTGATAACCCCCATTTTGTGGGGTATGTTAACTAGGATTTCAAGTAAATTATGAATTGCCGAGGTGTCCTTGTGCATTGTGTCATATAAACTTTTCACTTCTCGGCTACATATTAGCTCAAACTGCTGAGATTATTCTTCCAACCATCATCGAAGGAAAGATTTATATTGTGTACCATAAATCTCATCTTATTCGTCGTCGCAATCTTCTGCCAAGACTTTAATAAAACCATCTTTTGCCATCCTAGTAGTTTGGGTGATTACCATGGCGTCATGGCTTTGGCCGCCAAGATTAATTTCCATTTCTTAATGAGCCATGTTTGCGGCTTTAGGTGTCACGGCAACAGGGGAAGCCTGTGCCTATGACGTACCATCTTGTACTGGACTTTGAACTATAAGTGGTAAACTGGCAGTCGATTTACCCATAATTGCTTTCTTTTTGATTGACGGTGTCTCAATGGTTATGAACTTCATAGCTTTAGCACTAGGTCCCACTGGGAATGCTAAAATGTTGACCCTAAAAACTACCTAGCCTACGTGACGCGCAGGCTGAGTAACTAATGTGCTAACTATGTCTTTCGGTTGAATGCAGGGCGTGCGAACTCGTCAGCTGAGTTCGATCGGGGAGTAAAATATGTTGATGTGGCGTTGGGTGCACTGCTGACTTCTTGATCTCGCGATTGCGACCGAGAAAGGAACACGTCTCGACCTTCGGGTTCTAGAGCCTGAAGACAAGGTTGCTAGTTTTGCGAAGTTTAATATCAAATATAGCTATCAGTGTGTGGAATGTAGTAACCTGGTAACACCTAACTTCGCCGATAAGGCTGATGACATCTTCCAACAAGGACTCAGAAATCCTTGCTGGCCAAGACTTGGATAAATAACCAGTTGGTCTCAAAGCAGTGTTGTTTATCTAAACTGAAGGTGCTCATCGGTCGACTGATTCTACAGTTCCAGTGTTATTTGTCTAAATTAAAGATGTTACCGGTTGCCTTCACAGTGCTGTCTATCCAAACTGAAGATGTCTTGGCGGGGAAAAAGAAAATAAAAATCTCAAGGTGTTTAAGAGGTTTGCGCATGGCAGTTGTGTGTTGAATTGGAGGGGCTGTGAATGATGCACTCCCCTCTCTATTTATAATGGTAATATCCCTAATGGCTGAGGTAAAATTTCACTCAAATTAGAATTCCTTAAGCCAATCTGATTAAGTTTCGACAAATCCTAACTCCTACAGGATTCTGAACCAGGCTCCTTAATTGCTCAGATTCAACCCCTTGATCCTCAGCATTTTCCCATGATTCGAAGTATTCTTAACCTCTGAAGAATCCTTATTGCACCAGGATTCGACCACTTCACCCTTATCCATGTAAGACCATCTTCTGATAAGATTCGGCCGAACTCTACTAGACTTGGCACAGGACAAAGAATATTCCCGATGTTCCTCCCTGGGCTGGTAACGATTCTAAGCTTGGCCCAAAGTGTTATTTTGGGCCCAAACAGTAACAAACCCAGAACATATATTCATTAATTTTAGTAATCCTCTCCATTGACTAATTATTCGTTGTAAGGAAGGGGTAGATAAAATTACTGTGCCATTAATTTTATCAAATACAGAAACCAATCGATAAAACTTGGTTTGGATTTAGGGATGAGGTGAGGTATTGTTAAGAGTCGATGGCTTGTGGGGTAAATGTTACAACATATTAAAGAAATGGACCGGAAACTACCCCTTGTTTTCGCTATGCTTGTGTTTGGCACTCCTTCCTCATAGATCTGCATATCGAAAATAAATAAAAAAAGATTTCTTATGCAGTATAAATATTTGATTTTTTTAGCATTTTTAACAGTTTTTTAACGAATTGTTTAAGATTGTTAAAGGAGATAAACATGGGGACTAAACTGATCAAAATGAAACACATGGACTAAATTAAGCGATAGGGTGAAAAATAGAGACCGATTTGACATTGAAGCCTATAAATTATCTATATTATTACCAAGAGAACATGGCTTGGCAATTATTTTCTCAAAATACCAAGCATGTCCCTGCTTTTCCTTCCTTCCCCTTATTTTTAATAAAAAACATTTAAATAATACGGTTATAATAGTAATTTACTTAAAATATCAAAATAAAATGTAATTCTTCACTTTTTTTTATTTTTCTCCCACTTTTTCCTCACTAAGATTTTCCCCCCACATGTATAGCATGTGCGAGATTTGCAAATTGGAGTTTAAAACGGATTTAGCATTTACAAATTATATTCTTATTTTTAACTCGTATACAATTTTTTTAATTGCGAGAGCAGACAAAATTTATATTTGTCGAAGTCAAACATAACAAGTAACTAATAAAGTTCAAACAGTACTGGATACAATCTTCGCAGTTTGAGCACCCGCATATACATATATGGCATGGAATACGGTTCACATATTTTGAAGAAGCATGCATGTTTATTTTACGAGGCGATTACATTTTTATACTATATTAGTGTACCACATGATATAGCAAATGATTCATATAACTAACATCTAATGAGATAAATCCATTAATTGACATAATATGAATACACCACTTGCCAAATCATATGGTACACCAATGTGATACATAAAAGCGGTCTCCCTAGCATTTTTCTTATTTTACTTGATCACTAGTATAGGCGTTTTGTTTGTTGTTGCAGGAGCTTTAGCCACAGATATAGCAAGGATTTCAACTTCAACAGATAATGCATCATCCTGAATGAATCCTTTCGATGAGTCCTGAAGAGTTTTAAGTGGCATGAAGCTTTGACAACCATGTTCGCAGTTTGATGAACTGAACCAATGACTAACTGAAACAAGAAACTAAATTTTTAAGAGAAGGCAATATATACTTGCATGCCAAGTAATATTTTTCTTTAATAATACTTGTGTTCTGACCCACTTTCTGGGGATTTTTTTTTTCAACAAAATCAAGTGACCTACACACATTAGGGTTGTATAAAAGTCAGTAGTTGTTTATTCTAAATTTTAATTTTTTAAGAGAGCTGTTATTGACACTATAAAAAATTCATGTTGCACTATTCTTTTATACTTTTAAATTAATGCAGAATTTGAACATAGATGAGTGCAAAATAACTTTTTAAAGTGCTAATATAACAGTACCCAATCAAAATTAATGAATTATTTTTTTCTCCAACTGGAGTTGATAAGTCTTGACTCATGAGGAAGATGACAGCAAACATAGGTGTAAATTTAGTGGAGTTACCTGTTTTTTCAATATTGTCATGGCGGACTTGATCCAATACCCTAAGCTTGAATTCTGCACAAATACTCGGAAGAGTCTTCAAATCTTCGGTTGATCGTAAGAAAAGTGATAGTGATTTGTCCTTCTGTTTCTTCCCTTCTCCTCTCGGACACACCCTTAACTTCCTAGCAGCGTACGGAAAAAAAAAAGTGATAATTAATCATCATCCCCACAGTTAGGTATCAAATTCGCCATTTATATGAGAGAATCCAAGTGGAAAAAAACACTATTAAACTGGAATACTAGTTACAAAAATCTAAGTCAGTTGATTTCTGCATATATGTATATTTTGCATACCATTTTCTTCCTTGAAGAGTGAATTCTGGAGATAAATACTCCGGGTCATGTTTTGATTGGAAGCTCTCCAGTCTAAATTGGGCGGCACGCATGGGATTTGTAGGTTTCCAAAGGATAAATGGTTCTTTAGAGATTTTCCTGTTGTTTTTATGAACAAAAACCTCGGCCCCAAAAGTGCAGCAATCATTGAAAAGGTATCCCTGAGATTCGAATGTTGAACGAGGAAGAAATTTTGCAAAACCCCACTCCTGAGTCCTCCACTCGTTAAATGGCCTTACTTTTCCAGAACCATCTGTAGTAATAAGCATGAAGATTGAAATGTAAATTAGTATGTATGCATAGGGTTACACAATGCCATGAGGGGTGACAATCGAATTAGATTTCTTTCTAGCTAGTGTTTCGCTAAGATGCTCAGATATTTGGTTGACTTGAAAGAGATTTCACACGTCTTTTTTAACTTCTTATACGCCCCTATTTATTTATGGCTTTCGAATTGAACAAATCTAACGAAAATAACAAACATGATTAAACACAAGTGTATGAAAGGCTAAAAAAAAAGATGTCTTTGACCTATCCAGTAAGACTGGTCGAGGCCAGCACAACTTCAAAATTCTTAGGTCCACCACTTTGTGCTCTCGGTCTAGTTTGGTTAAGCCAAAGGTAAAGTTAATTCAGGAATCATATATACCTTTCAGAATTTGGTATTAAATCTTTTTTTTTTTTTTAAAGGGATGAGCTGGTGGTAAAACCACGGCAGTCTATATTATTTCAGAAGCCGGAAAGATTGGGATTTGGTATTAGATAGTTCATATCAACATGTGGGATGAACATATTTGTCAACATTAAAACTTGTTATGGGATGGGATGAAAGAATAATAGAATAGAATACATATGCAGCATTAATTAGATAGGTATTTGGTATACGTACCTTCGACGGTCAAGTATTTGTCCTCCACACTTTTATTATTAAATACAAACAGTCTAAAAGTGGCATATACGTCGACCGGCTTCCTAGATCCAGGAAAAATACTTCTTAACGTCAATGAAGTAGAAGGATTTGTAGATGCTAATGCCAAGTAGAGGGAAATATAGCCCTTCCCATCTATTGTTTCATTTGGGTAAAGTGACAACCTCCTACAACACAAACTTACAATTATTCAACTACATATTCAAAGGGGCTAACATCTTTGATAGAGGACTAAAATCAAATTCAATTCAACTAATACTTAGTTTCAATCTAAAAAGCATCGTATGTACTGAATCTAATTATCTATATATCAGTCCATTTTTATTGAGGTATCCTTCAAATACACTGATTTAATTGAGAGAGACCTTTGTTAACTTTTTTAATGATCTGAACGGTAGCGGTGGCTCGGAAAACCAATAACCAAAAATTATTAGTTCAATTTTGGTTTTGGTGGTTCAAAAACTAAACCGAACCGAATAAGATATAAATTAATTAATTATTTATTTATTTGGTTGCGTATTCATTTTCCAAGTTCAATTCCAAGTCAACTATAGTCTAATTTCAATCCAAGGCTAGGTAAACTTAACTTTAGGCTCAAATATGTTGAAAACCTTATTCTCTATATTTTTATCTTCATTTTCCCTCCAATTTCTAGTTTAAAAGGAAAAAAGGAAGAAAATTGAAAATAACGAAATTGAACCGAGATACAAATTGTAAAAATCAAACCGCTTCGAATAGTAATTTCAGTTTAGTTTTTGATTTTGACAAATAACCAATCTGAATAAAACCGAACACACCCCTACCAAACGGTCTATATTTCAATTCATCATTTATAAATTGTCCTTCGCAAAAAAATAAATAAACAGAAAAATCATTTCGATATCTCTTTCATTAAGCACGAACATATGAGAATGCATTTAATTTATTCACCAAAAAAAGATCATTCCTAACAAGTCAATGAAGAAAAGAAATTAACCCACCATTTGTATCCACCAGCTTCAAAGACACTTGACTCATATATTTTTGCTTGCGGGTTTGATAGTAAGGAGTAAGGCTTTATTTCCATCGTAAAGTGATCTGGCGGAAAGGATCTTTCGTATCTTTTAATATTCTCTGGAATATCTCCAACTCTATCTGTACATGCAAAAGCAGAAGAAAATTAGGGCAAAGAGCTGGTACTCTCTCAAATGTCAATTCTTGACAATACAAAAAATAATATCATTTTATGCAGTGTTTCTTCAATGGGGCGTAATAGTTATATGAAAAATGAATGAATTAATATTGAAATTGAAAATCTAATTTGTGGAAATCATATTTAATACTAAAACACCCGTAGCACTGTGTGTTACGTAGTATTGAAGCCAAAACCCATTTTATGATAAGGAAACATTTAGCTAGTAAAAAACATACCAATTCCTTTTGCCATTGCAGAATACGAGTTATCAAATGCAAATTGACTCAGCTGATGATGGATTACTGCAGAGTTAAGGCAGGGTCATATATATGGAGATAGAGAAAGACAACAAACAAAATTAAAATAAAACGACAAATGTAATTTCTATTAAAATATAGTGATGTTAAGCCTTCTCAAGTGTCTTATTTTCCCACCTATTTTGAAATAATAACTTTATTAACAAATGTATCCTAATATAAAATGACTTTCAAAGACCTAAAGACCAACCAATCATGTCTTACCTCATAATTATTAGATATATTGACAAAGAAAACCTAAAATATCATAAATAAGAAAAGGCAAAAAAAACATGATAAATCCCTTCACCTCCACAAGCTTTACTGGGAGAGATTTTTTAGTGTGACCAGTACACGAGATGGTACATCACGTGTCACTATACAAATGGGGGGATATGTGTGCTAAAAAATTAATAACTTAAAAAATAAAATTTTCCACCACTCATTAAAATACGTGGTATATCACTTGTATTTCCGTCATAACTAAAAATTTCTCCTTTATTGGAAGAGATTTTTCAGTGTGACCTAATTTATCAGGAAGAAGTGTACAATTGGCATGATGTGGCGAAACGGACAGAAATTGTTTATTACCGTGCTTTGAAATGCTCAAATCCATATCTTTTACAACGACTCTCACGGTGTGTTTTCAGAATTTACATCTAAATTGCATGCTCATAGAGATGTTTGGCTGAGTCTGGTTCTTAGAACAAATTCATTGTGCATAGAAATGTGATCATCTATTCTCTACATCACATCATTTGGGGGTGAAAAGGATGCATCAGTGGTTATTTTTGCATTCTAAAGGCTGAATGTTGCATCTCTAGATCCATTAGCTTAGTAGTGATTGCAAGCTGGAGTGGGAGAGCAAGTCTTTGTCTACTGTTTTTGTTATTAATTAAATGTGATGGCGATTTTTAGTTAAGCTGCCTTAATTGGATGCCAAGACGTAAACTTGATCAGGAGGCAGTGATGTTTTGAGAATGCAAAAACATCTTAGGGGCAAGGGTTGCTAATTGCTTAATTTGTTTATTGTAGATACCTCTGGCGTGGAGCTTAGGCTGGAAACATTTTCTGCTTGGTGCCGTGGCTGAGGATTTGGGGGTGTTTTGTAGTTACAATTCTGGGATTTTTTTGGGGAGGGGGATGCTGTCTGGTGATATTTGGAGTTCTTGGTAATGGTGATTTTTTTTAAAAAATTATAATAATTTTTCAAAGCAAGGAAAATTTGAAGAAGAAATATGTAGGGTTATTTTGGAAATAATGGTGCATGGGAAAAGAGTTTATGTATTTTTCAACTTTTTATGGTGGGAATAAACATAAGGTGAATGGGAAAATAAACCATTAGGATGGGTATAACACTACTCTTAGAATAAATTGATTATGTAAGAGAGCTGTTATCTCGTCCTAATGTTTTATTTCTACACCACCTGTTTATTAAAAATTTTAATGACCAATTTATCCTCTTGTAAAATGTCATATAAGGACGGAGAAAAAACAAAAGCAAATCGTTCTCTTCTACCCACACCCCTTAAAAACTTGTAAGAGAAATTTTATTTGAACTCATATAACCTTTTTGTATACTTAGCTTACTTTTTACACTCATATTAATTTTATGGCACGATTACGTAAAGGTAATCGGAATAGGAAACGGAATTGAATTCCGATTACGAAATACTCCGGTGATTACCAAATTTAAGGAAATCAAAATTTAGTGGGTCTCACACAAATTTTGGAATCCAATTCCGAAATTTGGAGGAATTAGACTCCTAAAAAGTAGATGGTATTTGGATTCCGGAGGATTGAGGGAGTGAGGAATCCATTTTTCTTACCCATTGTGCCCTCGCATAAAAGTTGAAATTCCAAATAAACCCAAGCTCTCGTCCCCAGTGTTATCCCTCTCCTTCTCCCTCACCAAACAACAGCAAACCCAAAACCAATTTAAAGAAAAATCTGAACAGAATCGACAGCTCATACAAATGAAAAGGATTGAGAGGAACTCACTCAACATGAAAGTATTCTAAACGAAAAAAATGGGAAATTGATTCGGAAGCTGGCATCAAAATTCGAGGAAACCCATGTACTTGGATAATTCCAATGATGGATGATCAGATGAGAGAAGCACGTACCTCAATCAAACAAAATCGAGGGTAGCAGTTGGATTGAGGAAGATCGAATGGAATCGAGGACGCAAGAATCAAAGACCTCTTCTTCCTCTCAGTCTCCAAGTCGTCCTTTCTTCTGTCTCTCTCTTACTTTCCTTTTTCTTTTTCTGTTTTCTATTTTTCAATACTATGTAGCACACTTTTAAATTTGTGTCGTGTTGAGGCAAGTATACAACATATGCACATCCAATAACTTTATATGAACATAATTTACTTATTCAACTGAATAAGTAAACAACTTATATGGACTCAACATCATTCCTACTCCAATTTCAGACAGTTTTAGTAAATAACTTCAACAGGAATCTGATTCTGATTCCACTTCATTTCAATTCCTCTTCGATCCAATTCCTCTAAATCTGATTATGGATTAGTAAACGCGCCATTAGTGAAACTATCAATATCTCTTTAGACCATATTTACTACCTAAACTACTCTTACAAACCCAATTCAATTTGTAATTTATCTTAAACCCATTTAAAAAAATAAAAAAGCAAAAATCAATGCATTTTCTACACATCCTCTCGTTCCAACAATTGCTTTTTGATGGAGTCTTCATCAACCTCTACAGCGTTGTTCTAAAAAAATCTTAAAATACCTTGCATAACGATGTATGTTGCATATGAACTTGAGTTTTTATGGTTTGATGATATAAAAACTTATAAGTTATAACCTATAGGCATATATTGCTAGATGAATCATGTCTTATCGAACAAATTGAAGAAGTAGAGAAAATTAAAAGACATACACGCACACTTATGAATGAGAAGGCCACTTCCTTTGCCTACAAAATAATACTGAACACCAGAAAAAGGACAATCAGTTGTCTTGTAAATGAAGCAAAGCTGACCACAGGCCAAAAAGAACAAAAGAATAGGGAAACTTGCACAGGCAACGTTATATATGACATATAAAACAATAATTCAATTCTTGCATAAATCCATTCATACTTAGTTGAAGGATCCAAAACTTCAAGATTAACGTCCACCTATAAAAAAAAAAGTTAGCTTTTTCTCAATGGGAGAGTCTTATGGTTTTTGTCAGAACAGAACGTAGAAGAAAAATTACGTAATAATTAGAGTTTTGTTGTGGCCTATATTTAATAGATAGGTGCGGCAAAGAGAAGAAGAGAGAATGGAGAATAGGTTTGAGGAATTGTGTGTTAATTCCCCAGTCCTTGTGCCTTTATTTATAGTAATTAGGAGGAGAGAAACTTGCTCTCCAAGTAATACAAAGTATATTAGGAAAGATCTTCTAGATCCCAAAGGATTCCTATTTTATCTCTACTTAGGATTTACACAATCACATATTGATAAGAACATATGTCACAACACTCCCCCTTGAGTGTGCAAATACTCAAGTAGATGGCGCATCAGATCTTCAGGCAAATGTAGAAGTAGTGGATGAAATCGTCTCGTTTAGTCGGCACAAGTAGCGAATGCGAGTCTCAAAAGACGGAAGAATGCAGGAGTGGTAAAACTCACAAAACCTTACTATGGCAAAACCCAAGGTGGGATAAAAGCCCATAGGCTAAGGAGAAAAGTGAGAAGTTGCATTAAGTCAAAACTATACGTCTTCTGGACGCAAGTAGAAGAGCTCACAAGGGTATGATCAGCCCAGGATGGGTGCCTCGTTAAAACCTAGTTAGGTAGCAAAAACCCAGTGGGAAAAATGCTCCTAATCATAGGGAAAAAGAGTACATTAAGATCAAGTGAGTATACTTCTAGATACTCCCCCTGAGTTTGACAAAACTTCCAAATGAAACTACAAGCATTACAAATGAGAAAGTTACGCATACCAATTCATTGGACAAGCTTCTGGAAGGTAGACTTTGGTAGTGACTTTGTGTAGATGTCGGTAAGGTTGTCTGGGATTGGACTGCTTGACTTCAATCTTCTGATGCTTATGCTGATGTAGACACAATATGCTTGGTGTTGACTTTGTTGGATGTAACATGATCTGGTCGATACATACATTGTTGTATTCATGGATCGTTGTTGGGACTCAACGATGGATGAAAATCGCAAGGATTTTGAATATGCTCAACAAGAATTCTCGACTACATCTTTCACGTGATGAGATATAGTGAGTCTTGGAACGATTCAAAGTTTCGCAACAAAAAGGTCTATCTAGTTAACCTCCAAGATATTGCGGTGTTCCTTAATGGTAAAGACATAACCATGCGGGGACGTACCTTGTGCGGTCAGACAAATGGTCTGATTCAGCGAATCCCACAAGGTAGGCATCATTCCGAAGATCAAGGGGGTGTGATCTATTCTGAGATGCATAGGGAATAAGCCCAAATTCGTAGTAACAGAAAAACGTCTTTAACACCAAGTTTGGTGGTGGCGTGTTAGGCGCAGTGCTGCTTTATGCCAAAAGATTATCAGCACATAAGATGTCTGATCTAGTGCATTTGAGCTAAGTACAACAAACGCCAATGGTACTTAGATATGGCTGCCTCACGTTCCAATAAGGAACCTTATGCTCCATACCCTCCGTAAAGGTCTCATTTGCATCTAGCATATAGATGATCAGGATATACTCAGACGTAACACCTTCTGGGTCTAGTTTGAGTGGTGGACCAGAATACCATCAAAACTAGCTCGAAACTTCAGGTTGAGGTAATGTCAAGTTCTCCCAAGATCATTCATCTTATAGTCCGATATGCAAGTTAATTTTCTCAACTTTAGCAATTTCGGATTTTATACACGCATGGGCATATATCCCTAACTGATTAAATATTCACTTAGACGGGTATACCACATCTGCCCGGATAGTTCTGCATCCGTAAAGTGAAGGCCGCTTGAGAATCAAGAGGATGTTCTTGTGGTCTAGAACTATTTGAATCAGTACATGTAAGTCATTTGGAAACTCCATGTAGGTTCATATCACGATCCCAGAGATACTACAACAACGTTTGTAATGCTGCGATCAATCACATGGCGTATGAGAGAAACCTTGCGCCACAAGGCGTCATATTGCACTATTTCATTCATCTCATTCGTCATAGATTGATTCTTTTAGTTGACCAATCAGTTCTACGTTGATATTAATCAACGGAACGCGGTTCGTTATCATCGCTTTTCATTTACGTCGGTACCATATAAATGAAACATCATTTATGATAATCTCATTCCAATTCCATATCTCATCCAAACTAGTATACTGGACCAAGAACTTCAGGTCTCGGGAGTAATCCGGATTTAATCTCATGAGATGAAAAGGTCTGAGACAGCGATCGAGGGGCGGATTCATTTGTGCCACGTTCCTCCTCTTTTGGGGAAGTGAATCCTCGAACCGAGTGATCTACCATGCTTCTGGCATAAGATAGATTGATTGGCTAGCCGCCAATGTACGAGGGTCGGCCATAATTGTGGCTTTCCTACTTTCAGGACAAAGGTCCGAAGTACATTTGGTACACATCTTTGCAGGCACATTTGCAGCTGGTATATGTGATCTCGTCACTTTTACTAGATCAGATGAAGTGTCTGGTTAAACTCTGACGATCTAGATTGGGATCGATATGAGACATAGTGGGGACGTCCACGATAATTCGCGTCGTTCTTTAGGAACGTTGACGTGCTTATCTCCCCCTAACGACGGGAAGACTGTCTCATAAAAGTGACAATTCGCAGAATGAGCGGTAAAGAGATCGTCTGTCAAAGGTTATGTAGTAATGAATATTAGAAGGAGAATCATAACCGACATAGATTTCCATCCTTCCCTGAGGACCCCTTTGTTTTTGTGTACGTAAGGGCGGCGCAAAATGGCACATAGACCGCACAACCAAAGACGCGCAGATGCGATATGTCGGGTTCGTATCTGGTAACCAACTGACACGCGCTTTATAAGGTTGGGTCGTGACGGGCCTCATGAAGGGAAATTTATGAGTTTCATGTGGGATTTCTAGATGACTAGCATACATATACAATTCAACAATATATATACATGAGCAACGGAAGCATGTTATCAAATAAAATCAAAGCTATAGTCATGCAAATCCCCTTCAAGGTTCATAGGTTTATATATAATGCATCAAAACATTTTAAAGAATCAAGAACAAAGTCAAGGAATAGATCTATACCTCTTGATCTTGATTTTAGACCAAGGATGGACCACCTCCAATCTCTTTGCTCCTTGAAATCCTTGAGCCTAGCTTCCCTCCTTGCCTCCTCCACTTTGAAAGAATGAGTGCTCCTAGGTTCTCTTCAAGTTTTCCAAAGTAGGAAACCTCTAAAGATCCTCACCCACTAGTGTAATGAGAAGGATGAAGGAATAACCAAAAGGGTGAAAGATTGTTAGCTCTTTTTCCCTTAAGGTGGCCGGCCCTTGTGAGTATTTGAGAGAGTTTTTTTTTTTTTTTAGCCTCTTTTTAGTTCTAACACACAAAAAAAAAAAACCCTTAAGAAACATTTGCTATAAAGTTCCTTTTATAGACAAAAGAAACCTAGTCAACAACTTGACTATTCTTCTCTCCTAAACACCTAATATGGCCGGCCCTCTTTGTGTTGTTTTGGGCTTTGGGCTTTCATTTATTTCAAGTCATCCAATGCTTGAATAAAAGCCCAATGGGTTTGGGCCCAATGGACCCAATTAAACCCGAACGTTTCTTTAAGCCCAAAACGATCTTTATCGCTTTTATGATTTCTTTAGACTTTTCTAAATTAATCACAACACATAATTAATCCAATTAATTGTTTCCATCATCCATTAATTACTCACTACAATAGTGTATTGGTGAACAATCTTTTAGGTTCTAATTAGCAAGGCAGTGAGGTGATTGGCACTAATCCAATTAATTCAATCACTTAGTGAATTGAAACTTCATTTCAATTCACCATTCTTCTTTGATGACTACATTTAATCATCTAGAAGAACTCACAAGCTATGATTGACATCTAACCATATGTCATAGCTACCCAAGCTAATGTAGAAGTTTATTCAGAGAACCTATTCAGTTAGAATTACAATGTAATTCGATCCTTCTCTAATACAAATACTCTCAATCACATCATTAGGGTATGGATGTATTATGTCAAACCCCTAATGTGATTATTCCTTCTTATATGATTCATTTGAGTCGTATAGGAACGCATTCCTTTTAATACGCTCGATACTTCGGCCGAAGATTCCCGAATCATATCTTAGAGCA